ATCCGAATAATTAGATGTGTAATCACAATATAAGAAATGATATAACTAAATTTATAATACAATTAAATAATAGAAAATAAAATAAGAGTATTTTATTAATTGTTGAATGAAATATAGTATCCTCTAATCTTGAGGAATCATACAATGCAAAGTATATTAAGCAATAACATTCGTTATATTATAAGCTTACCGATTGTTGTAAACAATAGCTAATCATGGCTGGCCAAAAACCGAAGAACTGAAATTTAAATTGGATTCATTATAGACAGATAAATTATTATTGTCTTAGTTTTGATAACAGAAAACTTAGTTTTGTGTAATGATGCTTACGATGTATAAGCACAAAAAAGGATGATGTACATGTACCATTTTTCATCCTCAACATACATCCTGACTTTAAAAACACAATAGTGAATGGACCAACCATACGGTATGTACAAAATCACRTACCAAACTTAAAGACTTCAAATATTTATAACCCAATAAATAAAATTATAATGCAATCAAAATCATAACACGAACATACATAAAATTATCACACGACTAAACTTACGATAAGAACATACTTAAAAATATAATCCAATCAAAATCATGATACAAACATACATAACATTCTAGTACACTCTAAATTACGAAATAAACTTGCATAAAATCCTTACCTTAGATCATAATCATAAATTCCCACAACCCAAACTTGAAAACTTCAAATTTTTAAGACATAATATATAAAAATTGAAGAACTCGAAAATCTGCAAATCAAAAAAGGTTCAACATAAGTAAAAATTACATAGTAAACTTGAACACTTCAAATCTTCACCTAATACATAAGAGTTATAATACAAACAAAATCACGATACAAACATAAATAAAATTATAATGCAATCAAAATCATGAAACAAATCAATATAAAATTATTACCTTGTATTGCAACCAAAAATCAAATATTGAACTTGAAGACTTCTTTAAATCATCATGACATAATGCATAAAAACTATAATGCAATCTAAATAACGATACAAACATTCATAAAATTATAGGAGAAGAGAAATAACAAAAAAACTATGAAGATTATCAATAGTAAAATAAAAGAAAAACCAAAGATGAAGAAAATAAATTTAGAGATGTATAAGATAGAGATAGAATTTGAGAGGATGTGAGAGATGAAGATGAACAAAAAGTTGTTGTTTATATATATATATATAAATAAATGATTGGAAAAGATGAATGATTTGGAGTTATGTAATTTGAATTAATATAGAAGAAGATGAATGGTTTGAAGTTGAATGCAAACATTGAAGAAAAAAAAACCTAAATTGACACAAAAAAAAAATATAGTAGTGGATATTAAAAGAATGAAGGAGAAAAAAGAGAAATAAGGTTCTAAGTTTTAGGAGAAGCCATCTCAATAACTCATGGTTTCTTCTTTAATATATAAACCCAAATAAACAAAAAGGCAAATGACCTCCAAAAAAACTGAATAGATGGGAAGAATTGAGAGGTTAAGAGAGATATTATGCTTAAATAATGTTAAATTGTTTATTTAATGATTCATATGCCACTTTATCTATACAAAAAGAAATCTATATGCCTACATAATTCCAACTATAATGTGAATGTCTCCGACTAAAAAAAGAAATATTATACTTACATAAACAAAAACTCATATCATGACTTGTCTTATTGAATGACACCTCAAATAAACAAAAATGCAAATAACATCCACAAATTTATAACTGAATAGAGAGAAAACATCGAGAGATTAATTGAGAGATTATCATAGAAGTGTACCACAAAATTATACATGAATATAGAGGAAGAATTGAGAGATTATTATAGAGGTTTACCTTGAAGAGAAAATGAAAATTTGTAACCAAATAGAGAGAAATAATGAGAGTTAAAAGAGTAATTATTAGAGGGAACATGAATAGGTTGAAACAACCTAATTAAAAGATCTTAAATGTGAATATTAAAAATCAAAAACAAATATTGAGGTAGGAAAAGCTTGAAAAAAGGAGAAAAAAAATAAAACATTTTCTTGTTTTGAGAAGAGGCCACATCATTACATGTGGTTTCTTCTTTAATATATATATAGATTGTATTCTAAAGTGGTCCAAATTCTTACGTCACATTTTGTACAATGATATGTATTTCTTACGTCACATTCTGTACAATGATATGTATTTCTTACGTCACATTCTGTACAATGATATGTATTTCTTACGTCACATTCTGTACAATGATATGTATTTGTGTGATTGAAGGATAAAAATAAGCCAAGAAATAGAAAAAAAAAAAACAAAGGAATACAGATTTGATCCATGACTTTTTCCATCACTAATTCCAATTTTGCATCTACTTCTCAAGAAATCTTGAACTTTAAAACATATACTAAAAAATTGGTCTTCAAGATTAAAAACACAAACACAAAACCATCAACAAATTGATGGTAAGTAAGAGCCACCTTTGCCAATGGTGATTCCTCATTAAACCACCAAACCATATATTCATTCATAAAATCTGATTTCTGGGTTCAATTCAATTCAAGTAATGTATTCACCTACAAGATGCACCCACCAAAGCTAATTCTTCAATTGGGAGAGAATCAAATTCCTAATAAGCCAAAAAAAAACCCTAACAATTACACGAATCCACCATCTCCAAAATGACCCTATTGTGTAACACGAAAACCATCAGACTGCTGAAAGCTCCGGGGGCGGTAGGGGAGCTTAAAAGGCGACAATGGATGGACAGATTCGTCCTTTGCCACAACTCCTAAACTCCAAAGCAGTAAAATTGATGTTCTTAACCCAAGTGTTGCTGTGTTTTGCAGCATTTTATAAAGTACATTCCTGTGTGATCAATGTTTGGATGATAACGCGATGGTAAGTATAAAACCATTGGCAAAATATTAATAAATGAAGAGTAAGCTGGAAATTATTTATAGAAAATGACACGGAAGAACGAAACTTAGAATGAAGAGCACTGAATACCAGGTCATTTAGGCGAGGTTCCACAAGAACGTAGAGGGGTACCCCATTTAGCGTCCAATTACCCTGTTAGACATGATCATTAGATTGGAGAACGTATTTATCGACTCAGATTTGTTACTAGTAACAACCGCATGGGTAGTAAAACTCAAGAAAAAAGGCTATGGACACTTAAACAAGTTCATATCCATAAAATGTGACGACTAGACAACATTTCATCATCTATGGAGGAAAATGGCAAAAAGAAACTATATGCAGTCTTGCTACCAGTCAGAACATGGGTATGCATCTATCAAGGCTTGGACCTTTGGATTGAAGCTTATAAACCATTAAAACTCAACAATGATATGAACTAGCTTGGTCAGTTGGTGCATAAACGCCTCTGGCCTGTAGCTCAATTAGCAAAGGGGTGGGTTTACTTTGCCCAAATACAAGATAGGTCAGCGGTTTGATTCCAAACCACCCCCCCTCCTCACATTGGTGTCCTTGGAGGCAGGTTCTGTGTGGGACCGGTTGGAGTTGCAGGTAATCAACTTTTTGTCCAAAATTGGTGCATAAACTTGAAAGTATATTATTAAGTTATGGCATCCCCTTAGATTGATATGATTTATCTTCTTCCGTTAAAATGTTCTTTCAGAATTCTAGCATATTCTCCCTCTACCTAAACATAAAACAGTTAAAAAAGCATTTTATAATTTTCATGTGCAAATCAATACAATTTACCATTACTATCCATAAGAATTGATCACTAAACATCTAAAATGATAAGTTTTTAATATTTTTTAGAAATAAGGTATTTAAGATGTTTTAAACAATACTCATTTGATTGATGATTGTTAGAAGAAATGTTATTCAGAACATGCAGGATCATACTTGATTATCTCTGATGAACAATTTAAAGGTACCCAAAAAGGTACAAATAGCTTAAAGAGTTGTGGAGAAACAAAAGGTTACAGTTAATGCGATAATTAATAAAACTACTTGTGGAATAACAAAAAACCTTACCTTCACCTGTGGCAATCCAATAACACATGCACATTCAACGACATCAGCTCCAACACGTTCTAGGAAAACATGTTCAAATATATATATATTATTGATTTGATCAAGTATGATGGTACTTGAAGATGAACAATGGACCTCCAATTCTTTACCTAAAAGCCTTATGGCTGCTGAGAGGGTCCCTCCTGTAGCCACTAGATCATCTACAATCAACACACTTTCCCCAGCTTGAACAGCCCCGACATGCATCTCTAGACAATCTGTGCCATACTCAAGCACATATGCTTCAGATATTACTTCACCTACACATTCAAAGTTAAGGATTCCAAGTTTAGACTTCAAAGTAAACTGGACATGCATGTGATCTTAAAAGAACAACATAAGTTAGCAACAGTTAAGAAAAACTACTCTGAGTACTCGTGTCAATGTCACAAACAGGATGGTAAAAATAACTGCTCATGTGAAATTTGGTCAGCCATGACACAGGTTTTAAAGAAGAAACAGTTCTATTAATTGGGTGCAGTATGGGAATCAGAATACATCTGATAATAATAATATCTACCCAATGGAAGCACTTCCATTCGACTGGCCTTATGTCTGATATTTCCTTGTGAGAATATGTGGAACCACATTATCCAAAAGTGCCCATGAGGAGAGAAGACAAGTTCCAGCATATATTGAGGAGAAATGGTTCAAGTCTAAACGATGTAGGACTAACACGCCCCCTCCAACGAAGGCTAGACAGGCACACATTGTCCAAGGTGTCGTGAGGGGTCTAGATGAATACAGATTGCCACAGGGTGTCAAGTCTCTAGAATGGTAGACCTTGGCTCTGACACCATGTGAAAACATGTGGAACCACATTAGATTACTCCAAAAGAGGCCTTAAGGAGAGAAAAGAGGTTCGAACATATATTGAGGAGAAATGCCGTGCTGTGTTCGCAAAACCTTTTTTACGAAGGAAAGGAAAGGGAGGGAAAGAGGAGGAAAGTAAGAAAAACTCTTGTTCTCAAAACTTTTGTAGGAGAAAAAGGAAAGGAAACAAAATGAAAGAAATCACAAGTTTACTCCCAAAACTTTCCTTCCGGATGTGGAAGGAAAGGGAAGGAAAGGAATTAAAACTTTTTGAAAAGATTATTAAAATTACAAAACTACATAACCTTTCATAATAAAGAGCATATTTTTAAAGGATATATTTGTAAAAAAAAAAATACACATTTCCTTTCCTTCATTTTCCTTCCTTTTAAAGAACACAAATAAAAAAATTATTTTCTTTTCCATCCCTTCCTTTTCTTTTCTCCCCAAATTCGAGAACACAGCGTTAAAGTCTAGCCGATGATGGACTCTTAACATTACATTTCTAAAGTTAAGAGCATAATGGTCAGCCTACCTCCAAAATAATTTGGATAAGGTTTGTTGGCCGTGTTGTATAAGAGTGGTAGATGATGTATTGTCAAAAGTTCTGATGTTGGAAACGAAAAGTAAGATTCAATGCGTACCAGGCAACTTTCTTGGTTTGCGCAGTGGAACAAATTTGGCACCAATAGCCAATGCAATTGGAGGGCCAAATATAAATCCTCTAGCTTCAACTCCTGTATATCACAATCTTACAGTGAGCAAACAACAAACATCATTAACAAGGAACGAATCAAAGAGGGAATTTACACAAGGATAATAACTACTACGCTGCCATAAGGTTAGTTAAACGTCATCAATATGTTTCTAGAATGTCGACAATAGTTGGCCTTGGTGATTTCCTGTTCTTTGAAAGTTAAATATCAATCAGATGTCATAACAACGTCTTACTCTTGTTCCTTCTTTCATTTTCCAAGTTCGAATGGCCATGAAAGTCATTATTAGCACATACTATTGCCTTTACCATTATGGTTAACTACAAAACTGAAAAGACTCCACTGAGCTTACAGCCCGAATTCAATAAAATTTTATTAATCACTATGCAAGGTAATTGAAATAAGAACCATATAACATCATCATATGAAGAATACATAAAGAAACAGAGCTTTCATTGATAAGGCCAAATTTTAAAGAATTCAACTTAGCTGCCCCTTTATAATCTATTTTGTGATGAGTCCATACCTAATCGATGGTATAAATATGTTAATTTCACATTAGACAAGGAAGAACAATCCACAAACAATATTTGGATGCTGATACGCTACATATTCTATGATTTTTAAACAAGAAGAGCTAAAAATAGGGTCCACATGTTACATCATTCATTCTTAAAGATCCAAGGGAGGATACAAGTGACGGAACATTAGATCAGGGACAAACCGCCATGGTTACTGTAACTTCTAATGACGTTTTGTCTCTATGAGGATGTAAATTAACTACCAAAATTAGCTGTCACTTTAAAATCTAGTTTTTCATGAACCCATACCTAATCATTATTATTAAGATGTTAATTACACATTAGACAAGAAAGAACAATCCACATGCAATCTTCCGATGCCGATATGCTTACATAATCTATGCTTTCCTCAACAAGGTGAGCTAGAAACAGGGTCCACATAATATTACATCATTCATTCTAAAAAATAGGGAGAAAACGTTGACCAATAATCGGACAATAGATTAGAAACCAACTAGCAAGGTTGCCAAGATGCTAATGACATCTTTATAAAAAGAGAACGGCACCTCTGGCAATTTTTTTTAAAGGATAGTATATTTATACACGGCAAATACTCGTACACACTCTCACCTTTATCGAGTTTGAACCCTTAACCACCTTGGAGGCTGGGTTTCACTCATAACCTATATACCGTTGGGCTAATGACCCTTTTGTTTCCTCACCGGCAAATTTAGTGACATCTTTTTTCCTACATTTCTGTAGCTATTCTTTAAAACCACAAAAATCTTATAAGAACCGAAGCAATAAACTAATCAATTCCACAAATTTAAGATTTTGGGGCAGAGGGAATGCAGATTTAACAGTGTTCTTGAAAAGGTGAACATCTTGAAAGAATTCGACCTCCAACCTCGATAAACAACTAAATATACTCCACCATGTTCCTAAAGATTAAGAACCCTAATTTCCAAAACCAGTGCATACATTTTATTATTCTTCATCCGAACATTTTATTGTAGGGAAACACATATTTTGAACTTAATATTCCTAGAGGGATATCACATCACGCTAAAAAAAATCCTGAAGTTAAACATCACAAACGCACATACTGGTGTACACATGCAAACAGAATAAAGTGGAGAGTTTTGTTCCTTTCTTCCCCTAAACTTTGCAGGGAAATCAAAGACCAACAATTAAAAGAGAAAAACACAAATTTAATGGCGTAGCTGCATGTAAGCGTGAGAGAGAGAGAGAGAGAGATTGAAGACAAATAATACCGGCGACAACTGAAATTTTCTTCTCTTTGTAACGATCAACAAAGATATCAACGGTATATTTAAAAGCCTTTTGATCTAACAACAGCGTTGTTATATCTTGAAACATTATTCCTACAAAAGAAATTGGACGAGAAAGAGTCAGACCACAAAGTGTTCGACGAAAATCCAGAGTGAAAGAAGGCAAAAATACCTGGTTTAGGGAAGTGGGGAACGACTCTTATGGCATCTGAGATGGCCTTTATTCTTGGGTCTCCATGTAAACCGTTTTCTTCTGCAAACATCTCTCTGTAAATCGGCGATAATTTTCCGGCAAGAAGGAGACGAGATGGAATGTGAGAAGCAGTTGATCACTCAGCTTATCTAAGCATGTCCTCTCTGCTATTTATAAGCGAATTAATATGTACTTTCCTCCCAATCAAATATCTTTTAATTATTAATTATTAATAATAATTAATTCTAAACATATTTTCAAATAAATACATACTTACAAATTTAAATACTTTTTTTTTTTTTTTAAATCTTCTTTATATATAAAAGTAAGATCCACAATAAATGATGTAACACCCTAAGAATTAAGTATTTTATATTTCTTGCATAGAGGTTGAGTTTTGAGTATCTCATATTGATAGAGAGATGAAATATTGACAATTGATGGTAGGTATATGAAGTGAGGTTGATATGTCTTTGTTTTAACTCATGGGTTGGATTCTTTTGGCTAACCCTATAAACTCATATCATTAGCTCATGTTGACTAACCCTCCAAACTCATGGGGTTGGTTCATTTTCGCCAACCCTTTTTTTTTTGCAAAAAAATCATCTTTATAAAAAAAATTTATATATATAGGGCTCTCTCTATATATAAGTAAGATTCACAAGAAATGATATGTCATCCTAAGAATTGAGCATTATATATTTCTTGCATTGATGTTAAGTTGGTGTATCCCATATTGATGGAAAAATGAAATTGATGTTAAGTTGGTGTATCCCATATTGATGGAAAAATGAAAGCTCGACAATTGATGGTAGGTATATAAGAGGGGGTTGAGGTGTCTTTATTTTAACTCACGGGGTTGGGTTCTCTTGGCTAATCCTATAAACTCATATCACGGGTTCATGTTGGCTAACTCTCTAAACTTATGGGGTTTCTTCATTTTGACGAACCTTCTATTTGCAAAAAAGTTGTCTATACAAAAAAAATCAATATATCAATACAAAAGAAAGCTAGAAAATAATGAGATGGCAACATTAAAACCAAATATTTTAAAATTTTTGTTTTGTGGTTGTATTTTGGGTATCCACATTGATTATAAATTGATACGTCAATGGAAAAATGAGTATATAAGAGAAATATGAGTTCCCTTTGAAAATTAAAAGGTTCATTTGGTTATATAAGCCATATTTATCTTTAAATGTTTGGAGTAATGGCTATTTTTTTATATCAATATCCATCATAAATCTTTTTTATATATAGATAGATGAAATATTGACGATGAATGGTGGGCATATAACAAGATGTTGAGATACCTTTGTCGCAAGTCATGAGGCTGGCTTCTCTCGAGCAATTGTTTAAACTCACATGGTTAGATCATTTTGACTGAACTTCCGAACATATGCGGTTGACTGATTTTGGTCAACCATTTTCTGTGAAAAAAATTTAATCTATACTAAATATTAATTGAAGAGATCATTTTAATATGTTTTGAAAAGTAAGAAGCGGAACCGTAGATGCGGCGCCCTAATAATTGAATATTCTTCAATCTTGAATTGTGATTGGGTTTTATATATCCCATACTGATTGAGAGTTGAAAGATTGATAAAAATGTTGGATATGTAAAATGAGGTCGAGATGCATTTGTGACAACTCATGAGGTTGGTTCCTATTGGTTGATTCTCTTAACACCCGTGATTAGAGGATTTTGGCCGACCCTCCGAACACATGGGGTTGGTTCATTTTGGCCAACTTTTTTTTTTTTCAAGAAGGGTTAATCGATATTAAAAATTAATTATATATATAATCTTTATTCTTTCTATATTTAAAAGTAAGAACCACAACCATCAATGTGACACCTTAAGATTAAATATTCTTTAATCTTGAATAGTGATTGGGTTTTGTCTATCTCATATTAATAGGTAGATAAAAGATCGACACTGAATGATAGATATATAAAGGAAGATTGAGATGTCTCTCTGGCAATTCATAGGGCTGACTCATCTTGAATGTTTCTCTCAACTCAGGGTGCTTAACTTATTTGGCTGACCCTCTTAATATAGAATTTTTGGCTAATCATTTTTTACAAAAAAAATCTATATTAATAGTTAAATAAATTAATTAAATTAATATTTAATGCAATAAAATATTTAGAATTTAATATTTTTAAATCATGAATTGTGGTTGAATTTGGCTTGAATCTTAATCTATATTAATGAATTTTTTTAACTGAAAAACAGTTAAATATATGAAATGAGAAGGGATGCCTTGAAATGTTGGAAGGGTTACAAATGTACTACGAAAAATTAGTATTTTCAATTTTGAAGTATAGAGACATTGATGCGGTTCACAATTTTTTGTATATTACTTGACATGTGTTATGATCACCGTGCAACGTACGGTGCCGAACACTAATTAATATAAAAACATGATGTCATATGTACACCTTCTAAGTTAAAATCAGATCAAATCACACATTAAAAATGTAAAATTAAGGTTTGATGCAGATGGATATAACGAAAAAATTAATCGAGTATACTGCATTTGACCGTTTCTTTGGCTTTCTACCTTCTGTTTTGCGCTGTTTGGCTATTTTTTTCGGGTTTCGACTGACGTTTTTAGCCTTTTTTTTTTCAGCCCTTTTGTAACTGAATCTCATAGTTGTTTTTAATACTATGTTGTCTTTAAAAACGGTTTGATGTTGATAGGTGGGAATAAAAAATCAGAGATCTTCAACAAATATGTTATTTTATAAACCTTCGTCATAAGTCAAGTTCCCCAGCATCTAAGCGAGAATCCATCAAAATCTGACCTAGCCGATAGACTCAAGCTTGAAGCCGCCTGGCGAATCGTCATAATTAACAAACAAGTATAAGCATTGCTGCCCGACAGTAGAGTACTGACCGCACCGAGGGACAAACCCTGAAGCCTTTCAAACTGTTGTTGAATCCATGGACAGCCAAGAGACAACCTAACGAACTGAAACATCTCAGTAGCCAGAGGAAAATAAAGCAAAAACGATTCTCGTAGTAGCGGCTGAATTTTATTTTTTTTGTAAATCCTTAGATAAAAACACATGGATACAAGTTAGGCCTTGAAATTAAAGATAATTATGAATCCGTTTTTTAGAGATTTAAGAAAAGTTTGCTACAACAACTATGCTAAATTTTTTTCTAAAATATTTTTAAAAAAATAGAGAAAAAATATCGTATACTGCATTTAACAAGGAAGGACAGGTGCATTTATCATAACCCTAAAAATACCAAGAATAACCAGTATAATTTTTTATTGTATTAATTTATCAATAATTGGTATTTATAAAATTATTGTATTTTTACCACATGTACATAATTTTTTTTAATGTATTAATAAAAAAAATAAAATAAAAGGCAACATAAATTAATTTATTAATCACATGATTTGGAATTATAATATAACTAATGATTTAATTAGTAGGTCCAATTTGAAATTTAAAAATAAATAATAATAGATAAAACATTTAAATTAAAATACAAAATAAGATAATGATGTTTTATTTCACCACCAAAAAATATAATTAATTAATTAAATAATTAATAAAATATAAACAAGAGGAATAATTTTAAAACGACTATAAATATATTCATTTTTTTATTACACGTATGGGATGAATTAAATATAATAAAATTTTGTTTTACTCTTAAAGTTATTTTGTATCATTTTATTAAATAAAATAATTGTATTAAATTGTTCTAAAAACACTTGATTTTGTTCAATTACCATTGTTTTTTTAAATATATAATGTTTATATACGACAAATACAACAAATAAACTCACACATCTTTCTCACCTTTAGTGAGGTTTAAACCCCTGATATCCTAAAAAGCGAAAGACTACGATGCCGTTAGACCAAAGACCATTTGGTTTCAATATACTTTTCTAGCAGTATTCTTGTTGATGTGACTCAGTTTTTCAGAATTCAAACGTTCAAACCAGGAGAAATGTAAAAATATATATGAATAGTTATTGTATATGAATATTATATACTTAAGAAATATATGTGTTTTTAAAAATTAAATTAGACGAAAATAGTTTATATTTAAGAATATAATTTTCCACTTTTAATATTCAAATTTTATTTTAAAAATTATAAAATATTAACGTAAAAGTCTTAAAAATATTTTTTTAATACTTATTTTTTGAATTTTTTCAAACTAACTTATAAACGGTTGATAACTTATTCATATTTAAATAAAATACAATCATTGAACTCGACTAATACAACATAATAATTAATTAATATTTTATCTACACACCAAAAACAGTATTTCATCAAACATAAAGTACATTACATTTAACCACCTGGGTTGTGGTGCATTAAATATCAGAAGAATGTAGTGGAAAATCTCATATATGTTTGGTTTGAATCCATGCGCTAGAAAAACCTTTATAGCCATGACGGTTTATTTGTGATGACTTCAAGCTATTTTGTAGCCTCCCAATGGTTTAGTCGATGCACGTAAATTGACCCATGGCTACCTCAAGAAAATGAAAAAAGTAAAGAAATTACATCTTTATTTAAATACAAAATAGATAAATTAGTTATGGAAAAATATAAAAGGAGATGGAGAATTTAAGGGGCTGTTTGTCAGTTGCTTAATGATTTGATGTAGAATAATTAGTGATTATAATGATTAAGAGACTATTATGATATAATGCAAAATGAAATATAATTGTTTGATAATTATTTACAACGAAATTAGGACGTTGAATGGTTAAAGGAGACCTAAGATATAAAATCATTTAGAAGATTTTAGAATCATTAAGAAGTAGATTTTTTTTACCAAACAATATTTACTTTTTAACAATTGAAGTATTGTTTTTTAATAAAATTATTAAGAGGTAAACAAAAAAAATATTATTAATATATATATTTATATTATTTGGAATTATAAATAAAAAAAATGGGTAGAATGGATTTACGGCTGGCAGAGAATAGTGTGGCAGTGGGAGATCCGGGATCTTGTTGGTGGTCCCAGGGTGCACTAAAGTCCAAATGACGTGGCAAGGTCTCGTCAAATGGAGAAGAGGGGCCCACATGCAAATGTAGGGTCAAGATCTCGCCTGCACAGAGCATTTACCATCTCCTGTCGCTTGTAAAAGGAGAGTAC